CCTGCCCATTGTTCCCCTTTTATAGATGGCCAGAAAAAAATTAAAAGAGAAAAAGAAAGGAAACCAGGAACCAGGAAATAGAGAAAATTATTGGATTAGGATTAGGCCTGTGGAGAGCAATCAACTGCACAGCCCACAGTTTGGGACACAACATGGGTCACTCTGCTTTTTCCAGCTCAGTGCCAACACAATGAGCACAGTAGTGTCCTTTCACTCTTGTTTGTTTGTGTTTTATTCATTTTTTTTAGCCTGAGTTGAGAATGAAGTCCAGATGAACCCCCATTTATGCCAAAAATGAATTTTCTTTGTATTTTGGTATCAATATCCTTTTTTTTTCTTCCTGTAAAACAAAATACAAAAAAATGTTAGTGATATGGGTAAAAATTAATCATATTTTAGAGAAGGAGACAATATATTCTTGTTTTCCCTCTGACATCCTGTGTGTAGAAATTTGACGACAGTGGTACCGAGGTGATTTACTGAGTTTCCTAATGCTAAAAGTAGCTAACTGCCGCTAACAGTAATGTTAGATGCCATTAGCTAGTTAGCTCTTGCAGCTAATATTAGCTAACTCAGGCCTGAGGTGCCAGGAGCTAAACCCAATGTAAAAAACACCTCAGTATTTTATTCCCTGTCGTCAAACTGTCCTCTGTTGGCATCAGATGCGGTATTCAGACGTAAGGGGAGGAAACACGTAAGTGGAAGCAAACAACGCTCTGCTTTCAGTTTCATGTGCAGCCATTGGAAGGGCAATGAATCATCCATGGGGTGCTGTGGTGCAGAGGCAGAGCGGGTCATCCCTAATCGGGAAGGTTGTTGGTTCGATCCCCGGCTTCCCCTGTCCTATGTCGAGTATCGTGGTGCAAGATACTAAACCCCATGTGCATCGGTGTATCAATGCGTTGTTGGCGTTTGTTTCAATGGGCTTTGCCATCGCTGTGTGAAAGAGCGAATGTGGCACGTAGTACTATGTAAGCTGTGGTATGACGGGTTGCAAAATTGTATTTTACATATGTACTGTATAGATCTCATTGCCACATTTTGGAGGTAGTTTTACCTTTAGCACTTTTTCACAAGACCGGATAAATCTGTCTTTATATTGGTTATGTACTACAGTCCTTTAAAGTAGCTGTAATTAAACCTCTTCTTTAAAAGCCCACTCTTGATCCAAAGGTTTTAGTCAGCTATACCTCCCCTTTCTCTGTAAGATTCTGGAGAAAGTAGTCGCCCAACAGTTGTGTGACTTTGAACATAACAGATTTGAGGATTTTAAGTCAGGAAAGAACATCACAGCACAGAGACAGCCTTTTTGTCAGTCATTTTTAGCAGATTGATCTCAGTTTGTACATATTAACAATGAATCCTCTATGCAACACTAAAATTAGTTTGTTCCACAAGGATCTGTGCTTGGACCAATTAACTTTGATTGTTACGCAGATGATACCCAATTATATCTACTGACCAAGCCTGATGAAATTAATCAATTTAGCTTTATTTTTATAAGTAATAATTTTAAGCATTCCTTAATATAAAGGCATAACAGCTCCTCGGAATGTTGTATAGGGCACTGATTGATGTCCTCATACAGTCTAAAATATCAGTTTTTCAATATCAGAAATATTCAAATCAGTTAAGTTTTATTTTAATATAATCTCTTTTCTGAAAATGATTAAAGGAAAGAGAAAAACCCTAAAAGCCTTAACTGTATTAATTGTCATTGGGTTAGTGCAACAATCTCTAACTCATTTTAAAAGTTTCTAGAAAGACTGTCTTCTTAATTTAAAGATGTTTGTCAAAGTACAAAGAAGTGACATAAACAATTGAAACGTGTTGCTTTGATTTCAATACAGAGTTTTCTTGAGCCAGCATTTAGCAACTGCAGCTAAAGACTCTGAGCACTGCTTGTAGCTGCTTGGGCTAGGCTTCAAAACTTATTTTGACTCCCTAATTGCAAATTCAGTAAGGATGCAGATATTAATTTAAATTATCTTTGGAAGAAAAGCCATGACATGGATTCATTAGCACCTTACATTCACTGTTCTTTCCTCCCACACCTGTCTTTTATGCTCCTTTAATTGACTGTGGTGTGAGCAGGTCAGTTGTGCTGGCAATTTATTGTTCATTAGTTGCGATGTTGGCAGGTCTCCCACCTCTAAATCCTGGGTGGCCCTCTGCGTCCCTCAAAGTCAAACCCAGTAGTTTGTCTGAGGGGAGAACATCTTTAGCTGCTCTCTTTCAATCATTTCAGTCAAATAAATTAAAAAGTAAAAAATGTCTCAGATGTCAGGCTTTTGCTAGTGTGCTGACAAAAATGATCCTTTGTAGTGTTGTGTTTATTTACACTGCCATCACAAAATTGAATGAAAGTGCAATTTGTTGATCACGTTGTCAACAAGCTGCTCTTGCAAAGCAAAGGAGTGACATTATTTTGTGTGACTAAAACACAAGATGCCTCCTGAAGAATGCATTGCAGAGTAGAAAGATTAGACAGGGCAGATCTACAGAAATATTCATGGGGTGGCCAGAGAGTGACATGGAGGCTTTAAGGGGTGGCAGAAATGTATGCTGATTTAATTATAAACAATTACATATATCAATATTTGCTTGGAAATAAATGAAGATATTTGAACTCAAAAACATTACATTACATTATTACACTAAACTAAACTGTGGCCATTGATTTTAGCATTTTTAGTTTGGCAGCTGGGGTGACTAGGCATCTTTTAACCCCTCTAGATCCAACCCTGTCATTACAGAAGACTGACAGAAACAGTCCTGAGAACCAACTTTATCATGGAGCACATTATTAATCACAATACTAATGATGAATATCTAAATAAGTACATTTGTATCGTTGGGATTGCTAGAATAGAGTACAATTGTAAACCCTACGTTGCATAGATGTAGGAATGACAGTTGTGTTCCCAACTCACTACTTGTCAGCCCATGTGCTACATGAGCATCACTTACAATGAATAATGTAAATTTATGGAAAAAAATGAATCTTTATTTTAGATATGAATTTTCTCCTTCTTTTTTTTTTGTCAGACTAATTTTAATCCACAACTTGAGTATAAAAACACACAGTGGCTAGTCAACATGGATAAAAGCTAATTTAATTTTAAGAGGTGATTCAAAAAGGACAGTACTAACAGCAAATGTTTTCATCCTGGATTTGAGAAAAACAGACGGTTCCTGTTTGCAGATCTCAGGCAGACAGATGAAATAAAGCCAGGTATGACCCATGTGTAGCACTGATCTACTTGCTAGAGGCAAACAGTGCTGGATTTGTGTGAAAACGACACTCACTTTCATGCTTTTCACTGTAAGGAGACATGATCATTCTATAACACTCATGGGTCTGTGACACCCGATCTGGAAATGAGACTGTTGTTAATACAAATTGTCCTCCAACACTGGTTACAACGCCACCCAGAACACACACACACACATAAATCCTGAGACCACCCGGGTCTGGACAGACCACCAGGCCAACCAGTTCAACGCTGCATGTTTTTGATCAGCAGGTCTGGGAACACGCATAAAACCTGGTAAAAGGTGGACACACACACACACACACACACACACACACTCAAAGCTACACACAGACACACACGGACAATAATGGAGCCCTGGGTTTTATGTTTTAAGTTATGTCCAGCTGTGAATGCAAGTATAAGTGCGTGTGTGTGACATGATGAGAACTAATGGGCTGAGTGATAGAGGCACACACAGTGGGGTAGTGGGTGTGTGGATGGGGATTAACATGGGGACACCAGAAATATGTCAAGGTCTAATTAAAGCTAGGGTAGGTAATGTATTTTAGAAGCATTTTTTTATATATGTTGTAATTAGGGCCCGAGCACTGACCGTGTGAAGGCCCTATTGTAATNNCTATTGTAATGCAAGGAATTATTAGGGCCCAAGCACTAACGCGTGAAGTACAATAACTTAAACAACTGATGTAATAAATACCAATGTGGATGTGTCAGTCAGTAACATCAGTAGTGTAAATGTGGATGTGTGAGTAATATGAGGTGTAAATGTTGTCAAGCGAAAAACAAAGCAGGAACCAAACAAAGCTGAGAACGTGCTGCTGCCGGAAAAGGATGGAGCCAAATGAGAGAGAGCCAAAGCTAGGCCAGTGTTTTCCTCTTTTTGGACACCTGACCCTGGTGCTCCAAATCTGGTTGGCCGCTGATAGTACCTTCAAGGACATACAGGAAAAAAAACAATAACTTGTCCACCACATCAGCAAATCACCATGTTGGGCAGGGATCACAGACACCCCTCTTAAAGTGGGTGTCCCAAAAGGATCACTGACATACTAACAACACACCCCGCAGGATACATGACTGTAACCTCCCTTCTCAGGTACCCTTCAACAGGCAATATCAACTTTGAAGAAGACACTAATGATCAATCAATGCAGAGGAGCACAAGACAGTGCATCTGCAATAAGATTCTCTGTCCTTTATATGTCTTATATCCAGGTTGTAAGCTTAAAGAAACAACGACCACCACATCAGCCTCTGGTTTGCACATCTAAGTAAATGCCAAATTAATGGTGAGTTGTCCTTCAGCCAAACGGTCAAGGGCATAGATGCATTGAAGGTGTGAAAATGCCATGTGTCACTGTAAAATCAACCCAACACTATATGATTTATTGAACACTGAAATGTTGCAGGGGCATTCAACCCAAATGAAATGGAAAAATAACTGGTCTCAAACAAACCGACTTTCCACAACAGCGGAGTTGT